GCTCTGCAATTTACCGAGCTGCTTCTTGCTCTGACTGAGGGCTGCTGGGAGCAGGGGGTGGGGCTTGTTGCATGTGCCCGCCCCCTGGGCTCTTTACTGCCGGAGCTCCGCTCCTGTGCGCTCCGGCAGGAAATGACCCCTTTACAAAGTTATTTAGATAAAGGATCAGAGAGTGTGAGCTATACTACTGTGTTTAGCTTACTGAAATTAGGATCCTACTAGGTAACGTTTGCATCATTTAATGTGTCACGTTAAGACTTACGCTCTGCTTCAGTTCTGTTCCTAGACTTATGATTGGTTCTACAACCCTAGTCCTACTGTATTCTTTATTGAATGTCCCATCCTGGCCACTGTATTGACTCACCATGTGTAACCAGTCTTGAGTCCAAGCGAGAAAGGTGGACTATAACATAAATATATTTTTAAAATATGTCAAACTTTCAGTATTATCCAAGACTGGCAATGTGGCTCTCCAGGTCTCAGGAAGGGGTCCTTCACATCTCCTGATCCTTGGTCCTTTTTAACTGGAGATGCCCGGGATTGAACCTGGGACCTTCTACATGCTGTACCTTTCACATGAAGAGCAAAAAGGAAACAGAGCTGTGTGTGACGCTATAATAATACTCACAGCATTTACATAAACAGATCTGTCAATACTTTAACAACATACAAAATTTAATGACGTTATCGAACTACAAAATACAAAATACAAGAACTGAAGAAGGTCCAAAAATAATCTTATTCTTATTCTAATGAAGTTTCCGGATAATGCTCTTGTTTCCAAGGTCTTCGTCAGAGAAGGACCAAATATAACTGCATAAAACATTAATTCAATAGTTACCAAAGGTTACAAAAATAGCTATATATGCCATTTTTTTAGTATTTCTTACATTTTTAACAGTTTTGGTAATGATTTTCAACATCTTTGTCAATTTTACATATATAACTATTTTTGTAACCTTTGGTGATTATTGAATTAATGTTTTATACAGTTATATTTGGTCCTTCTCTGATGAGGACCTTGGAAACAAAAGCATTATCCGGAAATTTTTAACAATTTTGGTAATGATTTTCAACATCTTTGTCAATTTTACATATATAACTATTTTTGTAACCTTTGGTGATTATTGAATTAATGTTTTATACAGTTATATTTGGTCCTTCTCTGATGAGGACCTTGGAAACAAAATCATTATCCGGAAACTTTGTAAGGGCCCCGGTAACACGGGCCGGATATCGCGGGGGGGGGGAGGCGTGGCTAATTGCCCCGGAGGAAACTAACGTGCGGCCGCCCGAGCACACGTCCCGGTCGAGGTCCCGTGGTTCGGGGGAAATGCCGATCAGACGGGTATCCTGCAGCGCGGCACAGAAGCCACGCCGCGCGATCGCACTAGCAATCGCTCTTTATGCGCATGGGCTGTTGCGCAACCTGTGGAGACGAACAGCAGCGGGCGCCGGATGCCACGTAAGTCCACCGGGAACGCGATCAGACGCCCACCCTTGGCCCGCGGTTTTTAACTCCGCACCTTCAGCGGGGAGCCACGGGTTTGCCACGGGAGCACTGCGCTTCCCAGATGTTGGGGTGAGATCATGCCCGGAAACTCCGCGGGACTCCCGTGCCTCTCCTGCGGCAACTTTGCCGTGTGACCGGGGCCAAGAATAAGAATAAGATTATTTTTGGACCTTCTTCAGTTCTTGTATTTTGTAGTTCGATAACTTCATTAAATTTTGTATGTTGTTAAAGTAGAAAAGGAAGAAGAGAAAGAAGAAGAAAAGGAAGAAGAGAAAGAAGAAGAAAAGGAAGAAGAGAAAGAAGAAGAAAAGGAAGAAGAGAAAGAAGAAGAAAAGGAAGAAGAGAAAGAAGAAGAAAAGGAAGAAGAGAAAGAAGAAGAAAAGGAAGAAGAGAAAGAAGAAGAAAAGGAAGAAGAGAAAGAAGAAGAAAAGGAAGAAGAGAAAGAAGAAGAAAAGGAAGAAGAGAAAGAAGAAGAAAAGGAAGAAGAGAAAGAAGAAGAAAAGGAAGAAGAGAAAGAAGAAGAAAAGGAAGAAGAGAAAGAAGAAGAAAAGGAAGAAGAGAAAGAAGAAGAAAAGGAAGAAGAGAAAGAAGAAGAAAAGGAAGAAGAGAAAGAAGAAGAAAAGGAAGAAGAGAAAGAAGAAGAAAAGGAAGAAGAGAAAGAAGAAGAAAAGGAAGAAGAGAAAGAAGAAGAAAAGGAAGAAGAGAAAGAAGAAGAAAAGGAAGAAGAGAAAGAAGAAAAAGTAGAAGAGGAGGAGATTGGATTTATACCCCACACTTCACTACCCAAAGGTGCCTCAGAGCGGCTGACAAACTCCTTTCCCTTCCCCTCCCCACAACAGACACCCTGTGGGGTAGGTGGGGCTGAGAGAGCTCTTGACAGAAACTGCTCTTTTTCAAGAACAGCTCTTATCAGAACTACGGCTTGCCCAAGGTCATACTGCCAGGTGCAAGTGGAGGAGTGGGGGAATCAAACCCGGTTCTCCCAGATTAGAGTCCGCGCACTTAACCACGACACCAAACCATCAAATTGTAACCGACACATGTGGCATTCCAGGCAAGAGACAAGCAGAGGTGGTTTTGCCAATATTCCCTTCCACATAGCAACCCCACTCTTCCTTGGTGGCCTCCCATCCAAGTACTAACCATGGCTGACCCTGCTTAGCTTCCGAGATCTGACAAGCTCAGGCTAAGCCAGGCTATTCAGACGGCTGCGACAAAACGCAGTGGTTGGCAAAAGGCGCAGACCACTCTGGGAAGGAGGAAGCACGGGTCGTTCCCAACATGCAGCTCAGTTCTGCTCTCAAGAACCGTCTCTCACCTTTTCTGGAGGACCCCGACCAGCTGGACCAGCTTCTCCTGCTCTAGTTCAGCAGCCAGGCAGAGAGCTCTGTACTCCGCAATCTGGACATTCATGGCTTTCGCGTCCAAGTCATCAGGCTCGATGGGCCTAAAATGGACACTCATTTTGAGTGACTCGGTTTTATTTCAGGCATTTACATGACCCTTGTCCAGCACTGGTTCAAAGCGGGTTACAACGAGGGGATCAAAAAACAGATATAACAACAATCTTATAAAATAGGAAAAAAACACGATAGCATAGAATCATAGAATGTTAGAGTAGGAAGGGACCCTGCAGGTCATCTAGTCCAACCCCCTGCACTCTGCAGGAGCAGAGCCGAAAGATTGCCCTGCAACATGCCCGAAAGGTGGTCGTCCAGCCTCTGCTTGAAAACGTCCAGCGAAGGAGCATCCACCACCTCCCGAGGCAGACTGTTCCACTGCTCAACCACTCTTATTACAGTTAGGAAGTTTCTCCTGATCTTTAGCCGGTAACGGCTCCCTTGTAATTTCCACCCATTAAATCTAGTCTTGCAATCCGGAGCACGAGATAACAGATCCGCTCCACCTTCTACATGACAGCCCTTCAAATCCTTGGCAATCCTGTCCCCTCTAAGCCTTCTCTTTCCCAGACTAAACATACCCAACTCCTTCAGCCTTTCCTCGTAAGATTTGGATTCCAACCCTCTCGCCATCCTGGTTGCTCTCTTCAGGACACGCTCGAGCTTGTCAACATCCTTCCTAAAATGTGGTGCCCAAAACTGGACACAGGACTCCAGGTGAGGCCTGACCGTAGCAGGATAGATATTTTAAATATCAATCAGCTGCTCGGAAAAAAACATAGGATTCAAGAAATTGGCCAATGTTTTATAGATTTATGGTGTGGCCTCATGTTGAAGACCGTGTACAGCTCTGGTCACTGTATCTCAAGAAGAAGAAGAAGAAGAAGAGATTGGATTTCTACCCCGCCCTTCACTACCCAAAGGTGTCTCAGAGCAGTTTACAAACTCCTTTCCCTTCCCCTCCCCACAACAGACACCCTGTGAGGTCGATGGGGCTTAGAGAGCTCTGACAGAAACCACTCTTTTTCAAGAACAGCTCTTATCAGAGCTACGGCTTGCCCAAGGTCATCCAGCCAGGTGCAAGTGGAGGAGTGGGGAATCAAACCCAGTTCTCCCAGATTAGAGTCCGCACACTTAACCACAGCACCAAACTGGCTGAGGAACCAGTTGGTCACTGTGTGAGACAGGATGCTGGACTAGATGGGCTCTTCCTGTGTTCTTAT